CGGTGTTGCAACCCGCGTTAATGGGGTGCGCGAGCAATGCAGACTGAACGTAGCGGTATCATGTATTTTGTCGTTTAAGTAAAAGTTATAACAAAGTATAAAGCAGTAAGTGGAAAGCTCTCTCCTTAAAGGAGTGAGCAGCCACAGGAGCCCCCTTACGAACCACTCAAGAGTTAACAATAAAGCAGAAGCATATGCAATTCAATAATCGTTACTCAATAATATAGATAATGGAGAGTATATTAAAATCAGCAATATTTCCACTCATTCTTGGTCAGTGAATCGTAAGTGAAATTCAGTTTACTGCACACGCATATTTCAACCAATACGAGTGGAAGGCATTCGACAACTTGATTATGATAATTTCCATTTCAGACACAGTACGAATGCTTATTGCCGCGCACACTTCAATCAAATTTCAGCAGTGGAGAAGAATATAGACAGCCAACTAAAAGTGTATATATGTGAGATATATACACGTGTGTATGTGTGTGTATGCTTGCCAAACGGCAATTGACTTCTATTTCCATTTATTGTCGCTTTTTACACAACACTTCTCCCCCTCTTTGGTGCTGCTGTTGCACACACCTGCCGCATTTTGAGATGTTATGCGCCTGAATGCATGCTACGGAAAATTCAATGCACTCACATAGACGAGGCATTCAGCCATTCATAGCTGAACGCCCTCCCCAGTAGCACACTAACACACACACATGAGAGCAGATATAGAGTAGTATGAGACAGTCATTGAAGTATTCAAAGCTGGCATGACATTCATTGGGGAAGCTGTTGCACTCAATGCATTTTTCTTCACCAACGCAGAGCAGACATTCTTGGCAGACAAGCAGCGGGCGACGACGAAGAGAGTGAATAGACAGTGGCTTATGGCAGAAGGGAAGGCGTAGTGTGCGAGTTGGAAGCTGAGTCTCAAAAGGTATGGTGACACAAAAGTGAAACGTAACGAGAAGCAGTAAAGCGCGCAAACACATATACATACACACACACACTTGCGAGGGGCGCTGCACTAGGTGACGCGGCAAGTGAATGAGATTTATTGGATGCGCACGCTTCACTGGTCACAGCGGCAGCAGGTATACACTCACACACACACAAACATAAATATAAACGTAGCGGCATTGCTGGCGTGCACGGCAGAGGCGCCGAGCCGTATGAGGGGTGTGTGACATAAGCGGACCAGAGGCAGCAGAGTGAAATTAAAAGTTGCCTCAAGGGCTGCTAAAACTACTCGGCGCCAGTCAGACACTTCTGTGTGGACTGTTAAGTGCGCAATATCTTTCGGTAAGTATAAAGCAACTAACAATAACAGCAACAACTGCTTAATTTTACAGTGCGCCTTAGCGTTTCATTTCTTTACGAGATCGAAAATTTTCTGCAAAATTCAAAGTAAATGTAAATTTTACAATTTTTTTAACAACACAACGCATTCTATAAAAATAAAGCGCAATGAAAACGGAAAAATGAATTTTTAACACGATATGGTACGAATGAGTCACTGAACGCCTAAATATAGGCAGCATACGTCTATTAATGAAAGTAGTGCTGCAGTTTTTCGAGCTGTTGAGCTTTTCTTAATTTTATTTGCTCTTTTTTGTGACGGCGGACGTTTAGCTACAATTTTTTAGTTTTCTGCTATACTAGGGTTGCCAAATATACATACATATATGTCTATGTATGTACATATAAATAAAAATAGTTGTCTGACTGACAACGAAACTTCGAAATAAAAATTTCTTGTCACATTTGGTCAATAATACTACAACATTTTATTTAAAACTTTTTGTAGGTTCGGCAACAGTTGTTTTTCAAGATCTTGTTAGGTTTAGTTTAAGTAAAAACTTGTTTTGAAAATAGAAATAATTTTCGTTTTTTTTTGTTTAAAAGTTTTGAAACAAACGTAAGAAACAAGGTTACCTTTAATTTTTTATAAAAAAAAAATGCATTGGAAAAATGTAGGTTAATAAAGGAACAGTAAGGAGCTACACTTGAATTTTATAAGTAATCTGAAAGGCTTTATGAGATAACACTTGACGCCAGGATTGCGAAATAATCTTCTTATATAATATCATCTCTACATTTCTTTAATCAATAGCTTCTGTACTATAAAAAAGTTGTTTGACTGATAAGGATACAACAAAATAGAATAATTCTTGTCATATATGTATGACCATTAATTTTTAATTTTTATACTCTCGCAACCTGTTGCTACAGAGTATAATAGTTTTGTTCACCTAACGGTTGTTTGTATCACCTAAAACTAATCGAGTTAGATATAGGGTTATATATATATAAATGATCAGGATGAAGAGACGAGTTGAAATCCGGGTGACTGTCTGTCCGTCCGTCCGTCCGTCCGTGCAAGCTCTAACTTGAGTAAAAATTGAGATATCTTTATGAAACTTGGTAGACATGTTTCTTGGTACCGTGAGACGGTTGGTATTGCATATGGGCGTAATCGGACCACTGCCACGCCCACAAAACGCCATTAATCAAAAACAAATAACTTGCCATAACTAAGCTCCGCAATAAGATACAAGACTGTTATTTGGTACACAGGATCACATTAGGGAGGGGCATCTGCAGTTAAAACTTTTTTTTAAAAAGTGGGCGTGGTCCCGCCTCTAATAGGTTTAATGTGCATATCTCCTAAACCGCTAATGCCATATTAACAAAATTCACTAGAAGCAAATGTTTTTAGCACTTCTATTGACGGTGTGAAAATAGTTGAAATCGGGTGGCAACTCCGCCCACTCCCCATATAACAGTACTGTTAAAAACTACTAAAAGCGCGATAAATCAAGCACTAAACACGCCAGAGGCATTAAATTTTATCTCTGAGATGGTATAAGATGACTTTATAGGAACCGCGTTCAAAATTAGATAGTCATGTTTCTATGTCATAGTGCGAAAATGGGCGAAATCGGACTACAACCACGCCTATTGCCCATATAACACCATTTTAAATTCCATCTGACTCTTTCACTTTCCACTATGCAAATCAGGCAACAATGACTGTATCGGGATAAAACTTTGCGTGAATAATGCGATTAAAGTATGCCACCTTGTGGCCAAAAATTATCGAAATCGAACCAAAACTGTTTAAGCCCCTAAGTACTAAATATGTGGACCCCATTGCCTATAGTTGACCTTCTACCGAAAATATCAGTCAATCCACAAAGAAATCTCAAACGAGTATACCATTTGACTTTGCGAGAGTATAAAATGTTCGGTTTCATCCGAACTTAGCCCTTCCTTACTTGTTTCATATATCAAAATTCGATAGGGTTGCCAAATTAATAAAAATCATTGCTTGAATAACAACGAGACGTCAAAATGAAACATTTATTTTCATAAATAGCCATAAAAAAAAAGAATATTTTATTAAAAAAAAATTTTGTAGGGTTGTCAACTTTATTTTACATAAACTTTTTTCGTTAAAAAAAATTATTTGCAAATAAAACTAATATTTAGCAAACGTCTTCTATTTTAAAATTTTGAAAAAAAATATAACAGGGTTACCATCAATTATTTGTTGGAAAAAAATTTAATTAAAAATGCAGTTCGGTAAAATATGAATTACTATGGATAAGCCGCGCTTAAGTTTTATGTGTATTTAGAGACGATATGTATATAATAAAAAAATTTGACGGCAGGGTTGCCAAATATTATTACTTCGATATTTCTGCTACATAAAGCGTTCAAAGCCAACATAAAAGATTATAGCGCAGGTTATTATTCGAATCAACATATTTGTACAAAATAATTTAAACGAAATTTCCGTTTTGTTACGAGCTGCCAAATATAAATAATGATATTAACAAAATTCTACGTTGCATATTAATAAAAATGTAGAAAAAATTATTTCTGTAATCCAAAAAAACAGCTTTTTAATTTAATGAATATTTGGCTAAAGTGGCAGCACTTTCGCTGTTCTATATTTACGCTAAGACAATACATGATTAAGTCTGTTTCACGTTGAGCGTAAATGAAAACTGTGTGAGGTATATGGAACTACTTCTTGTAAAGAGAGTTGCCGCATAATAATTTTATGTTCAGGAAAAAGCTTATCTTCAATAGTTTAAAATGTATCTCCGCACGTTATTGCTTAAACCAAGGTTGTCAGCTTCGAAAGTATTTGTTAATGAAATACCTCTCGGCAGAATCCACACACATTAAAAAAGACTAAGGTTACCGATTTTTATGTTACTGATAAAGCCAAGGCTGCCAGTTTAGTTGATTAAAATATATTACACAGTTGATTAAAATATTAAAAAATCATATATCTAATACATAAAACAGATTCCGATCGCATTTTGAACAGGGCTTAACAAGTTTATGTCGTATTCTTACAACAACATTTGCCTCAACTTCAAAACAAGAAATTGCACTTCATTTTCTACCACTCTCAGTAAAGCCTTGAAACACCATAATGCCAGCAGTAAAAACAAATATTCCAGCGCTACAATTTACCTTACTTTATTTTTATTACATTACCAGTATTACTAACACATACTGCCTACCGTGTCTTAACTTGAGTTTCTTTCACGCATGCAGCGGTAAAATGATAAATTACCGTAAGGCAAGCGTTAGATGTTCAGCAGCTGAAGTCAAGTGGAAAGTAAAAGTTTTGTGGCAGCGCATTTAGGAATTTATTGCGGAAGTGCTTTTTGATATGCGGAGCTAAGTATCAGCGAATAAATACATATATACGTTTATGTACAAGTATATATACTTGATGCGTAATTGTCAGTATATATGAGCTTACTCATATACATATACATAATATATGCAGATTTGCTCCATTGAAAGAGTTAAGATTTTCCGCTCGTAAAGTGCACGCTTACCCGCACCTCTTCACTTAAGTTCCTCACACGCTCTGACTTTGTTCCCAAAGCACTATTTTTATACCCACATTACTAGAATCACTATCACTCAACACTTTTGATGTGTGCGTCTTAAGTGTGCTACGCTTTAGTAGTTTTTACTTGATTTTTGTGTGTAAAAAAACTATAAAATTATTGAAAATTTAAATTTCATTAGTTTCTAGTAAATTTAAGAATACTACAGTAACGGTAAGTTGGGTGAGTCAGAAATTTTAAATTCTTCAATTATCTTTTGTTTGAGATAACCATTATTTTGCATACTAAAACCACAAAAAGTTTTCTGGTAAGAAATAAATAAAAATAAAACCAAATATTAGCTACTATTAAAAATTTTCTAATCTGTGTTCATTTGACTTCAAATATTATGTCAAGTTATGTTAAGTTGCTTTAAATTGCATTAAGTTAAGTGAAATTTTCAATTCTTCAATTAACTTTTAACATATTTGGTATAACATTTATTTTTCAGGCAAAAATTTCAGTTTAAAAATTAAAAAAAAAAACCGAATAGTAATACTTTTCTGATTTTCGTTAATTTGCCTTGATATATTAAGTTACGTTAAGTTAAGTCTAAAACACAGATTTTAAACGAAAATTCCAATTCAATTTTTTCGGTTAAAATTCAAGAAACCTACTGTAACGGTAAGTCGGGTGAATCAGAAATTTTATATACCTAAATCAATTAACTTTTATTTGGATAGCCTCCCTTTTTCAACAATCAAAAAAAATTAAAATTTAACAATAAAATTTTTTAATTTCTACAGTTTACCTCTTCTTCCTACCTTTCTATGTTAAGTTACGTTAAGTTAAATTTAAGTAAAGATGATTAAATTGCTATTAGCGTTAGTTAAATCAGACCAGGCCAATTCATTGAAGTCAATTTCGTTCAAATTAAGTTAAGTTAACACAAGCTCAGTCAAACTTACGTAGTTCTTCCAAAGCAAAAATACTAAAAATAAAATAATTGTTACGTTCAAGTTAGCCTAACATACCTATCATACCTTAAGTCCCGTGTTATAGATTAAGTCCCACAAAGTTAACATAAAAGTCAAAAATTATTCTGTGATTTTCTCAAATCAAATCTTATTCAATTAAGTCATATAAGGTCTAAAAAAGTCAAATAGAATAGTTAGTATTAGCTGGGCTAATAACATGCAATTTAAGAGAGATCTTGTTAAGATATATTTAATATGGACGCAATAAGTTGAGTTAGTTTCCTCATTTGTTTCTATTGTCTTGTACGGAAACTTAGTGATGCTCAATTATTTTAATTAAGCCATACTAGGACAAGTTAGGTCAACTAAGTACTAGAGTAGATTAAACCAAAGTACATTCAGTTAAGTACAGTTAAGTTATGTTAAGTTGCGTAAAGTACAGTTAAGTTAAGTTAAGTTTAATTTTAATTTGAGTTAAGTTAAGTTAAGACATGTATGTTCAATTTAAGTAAAGTTAAAGTTCAATTTAAGTTAAGTTAAATTATGTTAAGTTAAGTCAAGTTAAGTTAAGTTAAGTTTAAATTAAATTTAAGTTAAGTCAAGTTAAGTTAAATCAAGTTAAATTACGTTAAATGAAATTAAGTTAAGGCAAGTTAAATTAAGTTAAGTTGAGTTGATTTAAGTTAACTTAAGTTAATTCAAGTTAAGCCAAGCCAAGTTGTGCTAATTTCAAATTTAGTTTATTTAAATTAAGTTATGTTAGTTAAAGTCATAGTAGTTAGTTTAGTGTTTATTCACACTATTGGTTCCACAACTATAATGTTTACCAAGAGTCGTAATTTTTATTACTATTATTTCATTGTTCCAATATTCCGAACATACGTAGGAAAGCATGTGTCCCTGTGGGTCATTTTCAATATATGGTACATACAAGTATGTCACTCATTTGAAGCATGAACAGCAATAGTTTTTTTTTCACTCAACTATGTCGATTTATTTTGCCTAAAAAAGTGTTTTTGCGGAAATTATTCTTCATTGCTTTAATATGAAGAAAACCATCAGCCGAAAGTTATTGCATTTTGATGGAAGTTAATGGTGAACATATTCTAGCAGAGCGAATGAAAGTGTGAAGGTTGCTTTGCACAATTTAAAAGTGGTGATTTTGGCTTGGGAGGCGAAGAATAGCCTGGGCGACCAAAAAAGTTTGAATGTGAGAAACTGAAAGCATTACTCGATGAAGATTGTTGTCACACACAAGAAGAACTCGCAAGATCTTTGGGAGTCACTCAATCAGCCCTTTCAAAAAGGTTAAAAGCAGCCAAATACATTCAAAAGCAAGGGAATTTGTTGATATATTTATGAATTGAAGCCAGAAGACGTTGAAAGACGACTTTGTATGCCAGAAATGCTGCTTGAACGCTACAAAAAGAAATCGTTTTTGCATCAAATTGTGATTGGTGATGAAAAATGAAACCACTACGACAACCCTAAATACAAAACATATGTGATACCTGGCCAACCAGTCTAGACAACGGCAGAGTCAAATAGGCATGACGTCAAGCTAATGCTCTCTATTTGGTGAGAAAAGTAGGGTGTGCTATATTATAAGCTTCTAGAACCGAGTGAAATCATAATTGGCGGACGTTATCGATAATAACTCATCAAATTGAAGCGAGCGATTATCGAAAAACGCCAGAAATTTGCGACTATACACGAGTCAATAATTTTCCATCATGACAACGGTAGGCCTCATATAGAAAAACTGGTTGAAAACTATTTGGCAAAGAGGTGCTGGGAAGTTTGGCCTCATCCGCCGTATAACCCAAACTTTGCCCCTTCTGATTACCAGGCTTCACATCAAAAGAGGGTATGAGAAATTGGCTTGGATGGAATCGAAAAATTGTCAGAAAGATGAGAAAATGTTATGGTCTCAGATGGGCAAGGCTTTGAACATGTTTTCATGAAATAAACGTTCACATTAAAAAAAAAAAAAGAACACCATGAATATATTCTATAGATATTGTATTTAGATAATATGTAGAGCACTCAAAGTGTCACTTACTGTCTAACTGTCAATTGGAGAGTCAAATTGTAGAAGTTAAAACCCTTTACTGTTCAATTCATTTAAGCGATGTCATTCGACATCCATTTTCTACCTAAATCTCAATGGCTGCAAGTGAAAAAAGAAACTGAAGCTTCAGTTACGAAAGAAGACATTCACATACCTACATATCTGCAAACGTAGAAATGTGCTACCAGGTGATAAAAATGCAAGAATGTACTCAGAACACCACCAACTGCACGGTGGTGAAATAGTGAAAACTAGAACAGTTTGTTGAAAGTAATTTTCATCTTCACATCAAAGATGCCCACAATGAGTATGCCAATAAAATTAGATTTTAATAACACTAAAAAATTAAGCTCAGTTTATAGAGTGAGATTTAATGGCAGATGGCTTACCTCAAACTCACCAAACTCGCACCACGCCACTCACACTCACACCCACATCCCTTAATGCCCCGGAGCGCAATTGGCAAAAAGTTTAAATGTCAACACTACGCAAAGCAATCAAAGTTAAACACAAATGGTAGAGTAGTGGTGGTAATAGCCACCTTTGCACACATATATACATAAAACCACGCACACCGTTTAATTTGTGTTCCTCTGCAATTTTTATGAGCCCTTACCTTATTAGGTTAAAGTTTAGCTGGTTTTAATGTGCTCGCTCATGGCAACTAGCAATTAAACTTAGCTTGCTTCTAACGGCTAAGCTGTTTTTAAATAAAGTTAGTAGGTTGCCATCTTTTTACAAATTTGACAAAGTTAAAATACTTGACGTTTATAAAGTAATGCAGTAAAGTGAAAATTTTTTAAAAAGTTTATAGCTAATTATTTTTGACGAGAGTTGCCACCTGTCATAAAATTTTATTGTAAAGAAGTTCATATTTCAACAATGGATATGAGTAGGTTAAAGAAGGCGTACAGGCACAAAAAATAAAATGTAATTAAAAGTGTTCGAACGAAATTTATCGATATATTGAAATAAATTCTTGCCGACAAATTTTTATCTTTATTATCTTTTTTTTCCGTTTTTGGTCAGAAACGTGCATGCCAAACATAATCAAAATTTTTTAATGCTTCTTTTATTTTGTTAAAATACCTATGGATCATATTTTAAGAGTTTTTCTTTTACATTTTATGAATTCCATCTTATACCACAATGATATCGATGATTTTATAATGAACGAGAATTGATTAATTTAATTTTTTGACTATAATTAATTGAATTATGTCTATTTCTGCAGATTTATTTTTTCGATAATTATTGATATTTTTAATTATCGATATTTACTGCATTATCGATTTTTCTTTCAAATTTATGATATTCAATATTTAGATATTCGCTATATTTAAAATTTATCAGTCTCATTGCCCAGAAGGCCGTTATAAGTTGCTGAATTTACCAAATCGTCAAAGTATAAAAATAAAATAATACACAAAATAGTTGCATTTTTAACATTTTAAATATTTATATATCGTTATGTTAACTGATTGTTGTTGAATCGAATTTTTTGGCTATAATTAATCGATTACTGCAGAATGATTTTTTCGATAATATATCGGTGTTTTATAAATTATTGATTATTTTCTAATTAAGTATGTTTTTCAAGTTAGCGATTTTTGTAATCGATATATTTCAAATTTATCGTTCTCATTACCAGGAAACCCTTAACAAATTATTAAATTTCTAAAATCTCATTTGCATGAAAAATTAATCTACGTATATAACCTAATTGAGGAATTACGGCACCTAATAGGAAACTTACTCGTTCTTTTTATACTTTCAGGACTAACTGGAACTAAATATTTATTGAAGTGTACTAAATTAAAAGAACATGCAATACGTAACCTCATTTATCATCATTATTTTCATTTCATGGACAACACCGCTCTACACATCACAGTGGCAACACGCTTACAAATGCGACTTAAATGGTATTACGCCACGTTGCTGCGTAGACGCTAGCAAAATTATACCCTTTCTCGATAACTCGGGTGAGTTCAAATCTAAATTCAATGCTATTTAAATAATTCTTCCCACATTATCTACTTGCTAGTCTGTCTAGTAGAAGACACAACCATGGGTGAACCGCATCGCTACTCTATTCTAATAGATGATTTTCCTGTTTGCACAGTTTATCGATCGGGTCCATGCATACATGATGCTGAAGTGTGTATACTAATGCGGCCGCGTGTCTACGTTTGCCAGACATCATTCACCATTATTTTCAAGCATCGCACCGCGGAATGGTGTTTCTCAGCGTATTTGAAAATCTTCAGTATCAAAATGTATAAATATCCACAGCTTTGCGGTTATTTCGCCGAGCACTATTTTCTAATGCCACGTGTCATTGAAGATTTACTGATCGATTTAGGTTATTAAAAATATTTGATTTAATTAAAAAAATAAAAGTTAAATGGAAAAAATTTAGTCAAATTCAGCTTCATTGAGTCAAATTAAATCGAAAGAAATTAGAACTAAATTCCTTAACAGTTATGTCTTATTTACTCCACTTTCAGTAACAAAAAAAATGTTCAAACTGATTTAACACCGTTTTAAAGATAATTTTAATTTAGTCAATTAGTAAATTGCCTATATTTTACATACACAAATTATCGATTAATAAAATTATAAAAAACGCATAAGCAAATTTTAAAATGATGTAATAACAGAGCAGGCAACCACTAATTTAGTCAATTAGTAAATAGTTTACACTTTATTCAAAAAATTTTAATTAAAGAAAATATTGAAAAAAAAGCTGTATTAATATAATACAAGATTTTCAACAGATTAGAAGGCGCTTCAGACCGAAACTTAATTTAGTCAATTAATAAATTGTCTATATTATATATGAAAATATTACTAATTAACTGAATTATACATAAATGCTTAAAACAATTTATGTTTTACTAATTTATGCACGTTTCATTCAGAACCTTAATTTAGACAATTAATAAATTGTCTACCCTTTATCTGAAAAAAGTACTAATTATAAAAATTATTAAAAACCTAAATAAAAAGTTTTATTTTCAACTGTGTTTTATTAGTAAATTGTCTACCCTTTATATGTATGAAAAAATTACTTATGTAAAATATATGTTTAAGCAGTTTACGCAGCAGTTCAGAAAGAACTTTAATTAATAAGGATTGAGAAAATAGCATTAATGTTATAAAATTATTAAAAGACTATATGAAGAATATTACTTTCAGCTGACTTGAGGACGTTTCAGACAGAACCATAATTTCGTTAGTTAGTAATATGTCTTTGATTGAACGAAAAAATTACTAATTTACTAAATTATAAATAACTTCATGGAAAATATATGTTCAACTAATTTAAGCATATTCCGATCGAACCGTAATGTAATTAGAATATTGACTATAATATTTAAGAAAACCTACTAATAACTCAATTATTAACATAATTGCACGAAAAATTTATAATAAAATTGATTAACGGTCCAGCCAAACCCTTAATTTAGTCAATTACTAGTAAATTGTATATATACAAATGATAGGTATATATATCAAAAAAATACTAGTTAAATAAACAAAAAAAAATTACTAGTAAACTATTTTAATTCACTTTAGTTTATTTTATCATTGCACTCCACATTAAGTCTCAATTATTTATATTAATAATGCTAACCTTTAAATATTCTGAATATATATAACATTTTTGATCAAAGTTTTTAAATTTTCTATTCCTTAATCATTGCGGCTAACTACAAAATTGTAGAACAACATATATGTATGTAAATACACATGCATTAAATATTTATAGATGTTGAAATTCCAAGCCACTTTCGTTTTCATTGAGGCCAACAATATTAGCACCCTTTATTTGCACATTCACCTCAATTGGCTATCGAATTTATTTACCCATCACCACACAAACATATCTGACTTATATATCTACATAAATATGTAAAAACATGTTAGTATAGAAAGATTACTCAAAATAAAAGAAATGTAGGTTCAAAAAAAATAATTTATAAAGTGACGGATACAGATTTCGATGGATATAGGCTTAATCCTTCATTTCCGTCGACTGATTGAGTTTTTAAATGATAAGCTTAAACTTTAAATAAATGTAGTGACCGGCTTCCAGCAATAACTAAATCTAGAGACAGATACGAACGTAACCACGTAGTAAAATTAAAAAGGTAAGTGTCCTGGCTAATATATGGAACATGCCTTCGCATGTTCTAAAGGTTAGAAAATGTGGTAAATAAATAATAGTTCGAGATCAGAAAGGGAAAATCGACTAAAAGAAAACATAAATTATGCCAGACAGCAGCAAATTTTAAAAGTTGCCACATTGGTAGAAGTATAAAAAATTCTGAGGAAATAAATGTATAAGCATATACATACATACCCTGAAAAGAGTTTAAAGAGATTGTCAAAAAATTTTTTATTTAATGTTGTAGTTACTTAAAGCGGCATACCTAATGTGACAGCCTAAAACCGACGAATTTTGAGAGTTTAAAAATTAAACTACGCTATCAATTGTTTTTATATTTTAAGAGAATATTTATACAAATAAAAAAAATTGAATATTTTTCGAGTTACACACGAACTCTGGCGTTAAAAAAGCGTCCATCATTGCTGCAGTGGCACCGGTCCCCTCCGTGTAAGAAACCTACAAATAAATTCTTTGCTAGAAGATATTGTCCGTATAATCAGCTACGGTCAAAAAATTCAAAATTTTACAAAATGACGTCGTGCAAAGAAAAAAGAAAGATTTAACTTTTTTTTATATGTCGTTTTTGGCACGCCTGTGAGGTCATTGTGTAGAAAACTATATACAGCACATGCAAAATATTTGGTAGTGTTCAGACAAATCCGCGTAGTTCTTCAAGCAATTTTGCAGAGTGTAGTTTTAAGAAAAAGTGCTATTAAGATAATTTAATGGAGCTAATTGAACAGAGTGGTTACACTTTAGAAGGCTGTAACACAAAAACTTTTTGATATATCGATTTAAAATTTAAGTATATAATTTTTAAAATCATATATTTAAAAGAAAAATTTTATATAGAAATTATCTTCAAAGAAATTAGTTTTTTTTTTAATTGTATTCCACTTTTTTTTAGAAATCGACGTTATTAACTTATATTTATACATATCCAGGTATCATGTATTTTGTATATTGTGTACATGTGTGAATCGTATAACGGTAGATTAAAATTTTTATGTAAACACTTAAAATTCCATTGAAACCACGGGAACCGCAGCATTTCATAACACTCCCACATACATATACCTATATACAGGTGTCAATACATGAAAGAGCTTAACTCTTTCAAGACCATTTAATATATATTTGTATATGCATATGTATAAATAAGCAAAACACGATTTAACTAATAACAAGCTTTGAAAAGTAAAAATAAACAAGCACCACCCCCATGGTATAACGGCAACAAAGAAATAGAGCAACAACAATAAGGCGAAATTATAATGACAATTATCAGCTGTAAACGCAAAGAATAACACTAACTGTTGATATATAAACAAATATGTATGTATATGTACATAAAACGTGATGACATTAATACACACTTCTGTAAAAACAAATAAGTTCATTTGCATTGGTAACACCGGCGTCATGCCAAACAAATGACACGCACATAAACTCAAAACATATAAACAAGAAAAAACGTAACTTCGGCTGCACCGAAACCATAATAACCTCCACATCTACAATTTTTTATCGTTAGTTATCTGATCTGAATAAAATGTTCGGATAATCACGCGTTATCTGTAATAAAAATTTTTGCCAAATTTCGTGAAGATATCTCATGAAATGAAAACGCTTACCATACAAGGACTTGAGCTTGAACGAGCAGTTTGCTATAGCTGTCCGATAACGACGGTTCTGACAAATGATCAGCTTCTTGGTGAGAAAGGAACGTGTGTAAAATTGCAGAGCGATGTCTCAAAAACTTAGAGACAGACAGACGGACAAGGGTAAATTGACTCAGCTCGGCAGGCTAATCATTGATATATATTTAAAATTTAATGTACATTGTTGAGGGTATAAAATCACGCACACAAAAGCAAAAATGTATGGTAATGCGCTGATTTATGCTTTTATTGTTGTTGTCAGTGTTAACACCTAAGCACAGTGTCATTACCCTGTATTACTGCCGCAAGCAGTCATTATTTCACACCGAGGGGTAAGAATGGTTTTATCTTTGGATATGTATGTGCTAATACATATGTATGTATATTAGGGTGAAGCGAAAAAATTTTTTCTTTATTGCTTAGCCCGAGGGTAAAATATGTAGATTATAAAAAGGCAAAATTTTTGACCACAAAAAAAAAATTTAACATCTAGAGGCGGCTCACTCAGTTTTAAAGTAAATTTCGAGTCAAAATTTTTTTGGACAAAAAAAAATTATTTTTGGCTTAAACTCTTTACATTCATATAAAAATTACCGAATGTAACTGTTTTTGACTCAAAATTTATTTTAACGCATGTTATCGCTTAAGACTTTTTTTTAAACTCCAATAATGACGACAAAAAATTTTTTTTAGTTGATAACTTTCATTGGACAGAAAGAGGACTCTCCACAGCTGCTCGAACACTTATCAAAATTTTTTTACGAAATAAAAATTTTCACTCGAAAATTTACTTTAAAACTGAGGTGGGGCCGCCTCCAGATATTAAAAAAAAAATTTTTTTTTGTCAAAAATTTTCTTTTTTTATAATCTACAGATTTTGCCCTCAGGCTAAGCAAAAAAAAAAAAATTTTTTTTCACTCCACCCTAATATACATATATACCGTAGTGTTATTGTTGTTGTTAATGTTGTATCCAAATTTTCAATATGTATGTAAAAAAAAGTTTTCTCGCCTGTTTGTTTTTTTTTGTGTTTTTTTGTTAACAACATAAGCAGACGTACCATAACTTAAGCATAACATACATGAAATATCAAAAACTTACGTTACATAACTAAGCATAGCAAAAACCTATATAACGTAGCATAAGCACACATAACATAGCACCGCATAACTTAAACATACATAACATACCATAGCATAGCATATAAAGCGTGTGTTTGTGTACTCACCGATTGCCAAATGTACGGAGAGGGCGACTTTATTAATGCTCAACGCCCAAATACGCAAATTATGCACACGTCTCACACCCTCAATATGCTCGAAGACTTCAAGGACCTCGGCGTAGTGCATATAACTGGGTGTACCTTCCATTAAAACCTATTTATCATTTTGCCGGGCGAAGCATGTAAGCAACCGAACAGCAGAATGACAGTTGCACGCAAAGAGCCACAAGTTCACACAGTCCAGGAGCAAGAAGCGAGTCCATATTGGTAGGTGGTCGTCATTAATTCACACGCAGATATACCGGTATGTGGGTGAGTGCGTGGACGTGTTACAGTTTGATTGCCATGTTGTTGGTGTTGGTGCAGCAGAAAAGAAAAACAAAACAAACAAAAAAATTAAAGAAAAGGAAAATTAAAATGAATAAAGCAAATATTAGTGGTGTTTAACTATAATTGTTGTTGTTCAAGTAATCAAAACCGTTAACAGGATAATCAAATTTAAACGGCCTAAAAGATTAGAAAGTGGGGCAAGTAAATAAAACAAATAAAGTAGAAATGTGTAAACAATCTGTTGACAATAGTTGGCAAGCAGTCGTGAAGGGAGGACATAGAAAGAGAAAAAACAAAAAATGAGGGTAGAGAGCGAGAATGAGTGTGAAATAAACAAAGAAACACTGCAAAGTAATTAGCTACAAAATATATAAAGAAAAACAGGCTGTAAAACGCTGTATATCAGAAAACACCTCAAACGGTTATGAATAAAATGAGTATCTCAAGAAATATGTAGCTCAACATAAGTTTAGAAATATCTATCTGAACCTAACTAGCCTAGATACATCTAAGCTCATCTTACTTAATTTAGCCATAATTTTAATATATAAATTTTCATGAGGAGAGCGATAGTATATATATGCCCCTTATCTTACAGAACCTCAGCCAAATTACGTTTCATAAATTAATTTAACTCTAGCAGTTCTAGTCTTAACATAAACATTTGCAGAAATACCCAAGCTGAAAAAAGTAAAATAATGCAATCTTTTCCGACGTAGCCTTACTTTGTATACTCTAATCAGTCCGCCTTAACTTCGTTGACATTCATAATCATCTAACCATTTCTAGTTTGTTCAAATAAAAAAGCACTTTAAGAGAGCTATTTATCTAAAAGTTCTAACCATCTAACTTAACCAAGCCTAATTTAGTATAGCCCAATTAAGCTGTCATAAATACGAAACTGAACTATCTTGAAACAACTGCTCATTGATTTAAGATCGCACCAGCTTATACGGGCTGACCGAAGCTTAGATTAGGTCCTGCAAAGTCCCAGTTGAACGACTATGAACGCTGGTCCTCCCAAAACTGCTAAATATGGATCACTAGACGCTTATAGATCGACGCTATGTTAAGGCGACTAATATCCAGCAACTTCGCCAGGTTCACCAAAAGTATGTCTCTTGAAATGTTTCAACCTTACTTTAGCAAAATCTAGGTAGTTGTGAAGAAAGAGTCTAAATGCTTCCACCTCGCTTTCTACCATGTAGCTTTGGCAATTTGCGTCTAACAAGATACACATATAACCTCAACGCATGTGAGCCTATTGAACAGTGTCCAGTGAGAAAACCTACCAAGAAGGGGAGATGATTATTGGTAAGAGCAAGTGATACAGTGGATATCCACTATTCCACTTTGGACCAGAAGGATCCCACAGCCGAACAAGTTTTGGTTGTTAAGCAGCACTTGCCAAGATCACAGAAAGTCCATGCATTAACGCTAGAACAATAGAGTACAGCGGAATACTGACTTGTTGCTAATCTGATGAAATTGGAAAGCTTGAGCTCTCTGTTTTGCAGCTTTGCAGTTTCCAACGTTTCCGCTGTGAGTCAACATAAGACTTGAACATTCATCGAGCGAATTTTTTGTTAATATACCAGTGCCAGATTGTCCTAGATTGTTTCAAAGATCCATAAAGGAAATCGAGCATTCGTTATTTATTTCGCAAAACAACGTACCGATAAACTAAAGAAAGGTTTAATATTAAACTGAATAATTTTTTAGAGTTTGTCGTTTGCATCGGATCTTATTTCACAGCTTCCTAAGGCTAACTTTCAACTTGTAGATTTTTAAAAATCAAGGTAAATGCAAAAATATCTATCACTACTTTTGAAGCCGGTTACTAGAAGTCAAAAGCTTCAAGTTTCTTTGTGATGAATACTGCACTTAATAAGAAAAAATGAAGAAATCCAATAAAGATCCCACGCTGTTAGTTAAGAAAAGACTTCAAGCACACAGAACCTCAGTTCCGTCAGAGAGGTTCAAAAACTTAAAATGGAGAGTCAAATAATTCATCTAACGTCACTACCAATGGAGCTTTTTATCTTTCAAGTTTTGAGATTCTAATATGAATTTTAAATAATTTTAAAAGCTATGCAAAATTAAAATCAGTCTTCAATATCTAATTCACGCTCTATATCTCCCTCTCTCTTTTTTGTTCTCTACGAGAACTTTTCTTTCATGAATATACACTTCTATATATTTATATCTCAAACTGTAAATTATATACTCACCAAGAGCGCATCCTTCATGATCGTAAATGTCGTGAAGAGCACAATGATCGAGAAAATGAAGGTGCAAACTGGATCAACAATCGCCCAATCCGGACGGAAGAAAATCACCAAAGCGGCTACAAATACACCCGCACTCTGTATCATATCGCCCACAACGTGTATGAAAGCGGCGCGTACATTCAAATTCTCCGCCTCACGTGACGCCACACCGCCATGATGATGTGTACCCGGCGCGGTCTCAGCCATGATCGCCGCAATCTCGGCGCGCACTTCCCTCGCCGTTGTAGAATTCTGATAAGAGAACGTGGACAAGCCGGAGACAGGCATAACGGCATCATTGGTGTTCAAGTCAAGTTCTGCAGCACCAGCTTCCAGCGGCCGCTGCGTTGGTGGTAGCGAGCAGTGACCTGTGGGTGTACACGTTGGACCGGCTACAAAGCGTTTTTCGCTACTCGCAACAGGTTTAATAGTGGCGGTGGAGAGCGCTAGGCTACCGCTGATCTCCTCACTGACATCCACTTGCAAATTAGCAGCTTTCTTGCCCTTCTTCTGCTTCTTTGACTTGCCACCGTGACTGTGGCCATGCGAGCTAGACATACCGCCATGCGTGTGACCATGTTGCAGCTGTATGCCCATGCTGAAATGAAGAGAGTAAGAGGAAAGAATAAAGTTAAAATTAGTAAAAAAAAAACAACTAACAACGCAATTAAAGTTTTAGCCAAGCAAGAGTTTTGTGCGAATTTTTGCACAATTCAGGAAGTTTCTAGCGACTTACTTCTGTTTCAAATCAACACTAATTACATTCTTTCCACTTCACTCCACTTGGCGCGCCAAGTTTTTGCGCTTTAGCTGGTTAATTTCATACAATTATTATGCTTGCCAAGGCAACATTGCGCCATAACGCCTTCTGGGTCTAATAACTTACCGCTTATGCACATTTCTTACAACATATATCAAACTACAGCCGAGTTGTTGCCCAGCAACTTGACTTGCCTTGTCTTTTGCTAATATTTTCATTCAAAGCAGAACTAAAGACTTTGCTACGCCATCCCAACACTTTTGTTGCATAGTTTTGTGCGCGCACACTCGCTCATCTAACGCTTCAACCACAAAGCGTTGTTTGATTCTTCTGTTTTTTCTTTCTTCCTCGAATATTTCCTTACGTCTGCGGCAGCGTAACACTTGCCGCTTGAGGGCGCTCGCAGCTTTATAAATAAATGCTAAGAAATGGCTCGCAGTTCCGCTTCAATTCCTTGCCGTTCGTCTCAACTCGTTGCGTCTACTACAGTGCCACTGCACTTCAGCATGAAATTCGGTGTGTGCAGCCGAGCATAATACAAAATGTTATTTCGTATTTCTTTATCGCGTTATGTAGAAATTTTATTATTTTATTGAAAGAGTAGTAAATGAAAATATATGCAATATTTTAGAATTGAATGAAAGGAATTGTGTTAATACAAGTAACGCAATTCAATCAGTCAGTCGAAGTTTTTTTTGTATTCCGAGGATGTCTAAAAGCATTAAGCTAAGAAAAATTCTAATTTTTTAGAATTTGACTGCAAAGTTTTGTGAAAGTTCTTAGTACTGAACATCCTGAATCCGTTAAAACCGTAGGCTAAGAAAAGCTTTAAGTTTCTCAGCCTATCAGTGGGCAATAATATCGTCAGTGCTGCCGATTACCAATATAAAATAACTTATAGATCTGTTGGAAATTCTTAGACAACTCGACTCCTAGAATAATAGATTATATAGCTCTGTAAGGGCCTACGCTTGAAACGCAGGGAACATAAAGTACACGGAAAAAAATTCACAAAAACTTTTTAAAACGAAAAAATGTGGCCTGTCACGACAAAATATGAGCCGAAACATTGGTCACAGGTCAAGGCACTATATTCATAATAATAAAGTGACCTTGCTCTACATTGAGAATTTGAATTTAGTAGCATACATAAGCCGCAGTTTGAAACTAAAAAATAAAAGACAACAGCTAAACTCAATCGAATACAAGGGAACATATCAAAGGTTACAGATAAATACAAGGGTGGCAAATTCCTTATATTTACGAATATGGATTTTTACAATACAAACCTTGTTAAACCTGCTGAGTTTCTGCGACTATCTAAGACACTCAAAAAAAAAAAAAACTAAAAAGAGAGGACGTACCCAAGCAACATAATAAGGTAATTTCGTATAGAAACTTTGTGTTAGTGACTGAAACTAGTCCTTCACAATTGGTTCTCAAAGACGCCGATTGCTTGATAGCTTGTGTTGATGAACTGAAGAGAAACTTAAAACGTTTCGTTATCTCTCTTTGCTTCTATAAGATTTTGAAGTCTTAATTGTTCAGAGGTTTGGATATGAGTCGTAATGAAAATGTCAACAGATATGTATAAAGTGATTGAGTTTCCAAGATTCTTGAGAACTAGAAAAATTTAATCGAATTTCTACCTTTATGTTACTTCTGGTATAAAATGTACGCTCATTAAGATATATCAGTAGTTTATAGTTGGTTTGCCATCTGAACAATTTGCATTTATGTTACTTCTGTTATGAAAAGTACTCTCATTAAGATATATCAGTAGTTTATAGTTGGCTTGCCATCTGAACAATTTTGACTCAGACTGAAAAAAATTTCACGTATTTGACTACAAAACTTAATTATCACCTTCAAAATAGGCTCCTGAGCCGGTACAACCATGCCAACCATTAACCCAATTATCCATAAGCTTCAGTGCCTTCAGCGAATTAAATATTTTGGGTTCACTTTATTTAACTGATTAAGAAGAATAGATCAAATCGATGTCATAAATGAATTGGATTTGACATAATGACATGATTTTGAAGCTTCAAGTATCGCGGTTTTCTCTAAAATTTAGACAGAGGTGTACCAGAGCTATCATAGCAAAAATTATGTAACTATCCAATCAAGCTTCTAAACTTAAAATTAGGTTCAGTTAAATTTTTCTTAGAATATATTTAACCACAGTAAAAACGAGTCGAAGCCGTGCAACAAATTTATTGTCCTTTTTTCTTGATATCTAGCTCTCGCAATGCCCTTCAACCAATGTGGCGTCCACTACCAAATGTGCTTTTTATCACAACAAAAACGCTTTAACAAATGATTGCCCTAATCGCCGCACACATTCAAGGTTCCAACAAAGCACCAGAGCAAATGATGCTGCAACTTTCAAAGTTCTTGCATTTATCGGCAGCATTCGAGTATAGAGTTAAACTTTTTATTTCACTTTTTGCTGACAAACGTAATTTATTTGGTTTGTGTATCTTTTTTCTTGCCTACCCAGTCCAGCTTACTCCTTTCAGAGAGCTTTACTGCCAAGCGCCAGCTGCGTTTTAGCCAGATTTGCTATCGCTTCGCTGCAATTCAAAAATAATTGCAAACCAATTCTTCTTTGTTTGTGAAAGTCAAAAACTTTTAGACAACACAAAACCAAAGGGAAACCGAACCGACAACAACAAAAAAAATAGCACACAAGACACACAGTTAACGCGCAAGCAGCTCCCAAAGCGTAGGCGTACAAAAAAAAAACATAGAAGACAGCCATTGGCGGCGTGTATTATTTGTTGCGAGTTTAGCAAAGATTTATTGCAGTTTTGCAGCAAATTTCAGGGACAATTGCCGAACAAAAAAAGAAAAGGAAAAAAAAAACTTTGGCGCAAGAATATTTCGAAAGGAAGCGTATCAGTTTCGGTTGGTTGGCAGTTTCAGTTGGTGACTTTCTGCGGAATTTGCGTATGTGTGTGTGCATGTGTTTCTAAATTTTCTTGTGCCAGTTTGACATTCTCATTGTTTGCTTACAGTCTCTTCAGCGCTGTCATTGCTATTGACGCCTTTTGTTGCTGTGACTATCATTTAGTGTTATTGTTGCTGTTGTTATTTCAAGATTTTTGCGTAGCTGAAGTGCTTGTATGCACTCAAAAACCGCTAGTTTCCGTTTCCCATCGCTTACTAACGATTTTCAAGTGCCTTCAAATTGCGCTTCGAATGTTTTTATAACCTTAACAGAATATATTAAGTGTGTCACGAAGTTTGTAATAGCCAAAAGTAAAAGTCGGAAACATTATAAATTATATATGTTATAGAAATGATAACCGTGGCTGTATAAGCGCGAACTAGTCAATCAGTTTTAGAGATATCAATCTGAAACTTTGTAGCCGTACTTTCCTTCCCAAGAAGATGCTCATTCGGACTACTATAGCGTATAGCTGCCATGTAAACTTATCGATTAAAATCAAGTGCTGGTATGACTATCTTGTTTAATTGAGAAGATATCTACATGAAATTTGGCACGATTATTAACCAAGACAGCGCTATAATCTCCAAAAGAAATTTTCAGATCGGTCCAATATAGCATACAGCTGCCATACAATTTGACCGATCAAAATCAAGTTCTTATATGGAAAACTTTTTTATTTCACAAGATATCTTCACAAAATATGGCATAAATTATTATCGTAGGCAGCTGTACAAGTTCTGAAAAAATTGATCAGATCGGATCTTAAGAGCATATAGCTGTCATACAAACTGGCCGATTATACTCAAGTTCTTGTGTAGAAAACTTTTGTATTTCACAATATATCTTCACGAAATTCAGCACATGCTATTGTCCAAGCCAACGCTACAACCTCCGGTCGTATTGTTCAGATCGCACCAAAATAGCAAATAGCTATCATACACACAAACTGACCGATGCTATAAAAAAATGCACCTGTGAGCGGTATTATAGCTTTGGAGCGGTCGTAACAATTTCTCTTGTTTTATTGTTGTTCCATAACAGTTTTATTATTTATTCGTGCTTTGGGTAATATTTTCACTTTTGTCATAATTCTGCACACGCTCCCACACACGCACACACTTTGGTATTTTTCCATCTTTTTTCGTATTACTTTTATCGCTTTGTTGCTGTTGCTGTTGTTATTGTTTTCCTGTTTGCATCTGGCTTATCACCCACTTCCGGCTGTTATTGAACGAAACAGCCGAGCGAAAGCAACAATAAACGCTTTTGCAAAAGTTGGTCGTCATCGTTATTTGCGCCGCTTTTTTTACTGACTTGTTTATTGTTTTTATTATTGTTGTTGCCATTGTTGACATCTTGTTATTTGCGCTACACACACATACACACGCAGATTATTGGGGGCGCACACGCTTCAAATGTGAGATATGCTTGATGGTATAAGTGTGTGTGTGTGTGTTTGCATGTATTTGTTGTCAACAATTTTGCCCTATATTTACTTAACTCATTCCCTTTCCTCAGCTTCTTCACTTCACTTTTTTCTAGAGACTACCTTCTTTCCGTGCCTTCCGTTCACTTTTACTTTCGCCATTGTTGCATACTTTTGTGCGCCATATCATATATCAAAGTGTGCATTTCAATGTAAGTGGTGTTTAGTGTGTTCGTATGTGTGTGCGCGCGTGGGTAAACCAAAAAGTCAAGTAGCGGTCAATTTGAAAAACTGTAACTCTTCACACAGTTTACTGTTGAAAACTTTCTTTGCGCGTGTGTGTGTGTAAGTTCAAAAGCTTGTGAAAGCTATTGAGTTACGTGTTTTCCGCATTGTTGTAAGCAGCAAACAAATCGTGATTTTGTAGTTTACTTTTAGGCGCGCTTGAGTATAGAG